ATATATGTATCAGTTATGGTTATTTTACAACTTTTTCTTATAACTAAACAACTTTAAAATGCAAGTATTCGTACTTACACATTAACAGATAAACAACTGCCATTATTGGTACATTTTTAGTTTGCAACGGAGATGAGCAGGAGATCGTCCACTCAGAGATTTCAGCTTTTCGCATGCACTCATATGCAGGAATACCTATCAGGTTTCACACTGGGATTTCTTCGATGAAATTTTATTTTTTGTGCTTAAATTTATGCATTTTTAAGTATAGTTTTTTTGTTATTTATTTTAGTCATTTCAGCATGTTTGCATGTTTTACTCCGAATCACACGGAAATAAAACAAAAAAATTTGTACACACATATGCAGTATTTCAACCAACCAATATTGTTTGCAATTTTTGTTTTGTACATAATTTTCGTTTTATCATTTTTGAAAAGTTTAAGTTGAAAGAGCATAAGTAGTACATCTAAATCGGAATTTTCTTACTTGAATTTAGTTCATGAATACCAAAGTTTTTTTCTTTTTAAATTGGCATAGTACCTTTGTGGTACATTACATTAAAATAGGACTGTGCAAGTCTCTAGTTTTTGTTTTAATAGGAATTTTGTTCTTTCTTGCAAAATTTTTTGCTATGCCATCTTAATTATTGTAAATTTCGTTTTTTATATCAAATAAGTAAAAATAAAATAAAAGAATTTAAGTCTTTGGCGAGCTTCTCCTACGTTTTCTTGCAATTCTGAATCTTACGCGGACCAGAAATCGAACCAGGGACAATAGCAAGAGGTAGTATGGACCACTTACTTACCACTCGTCTACTATTGAATTACGATTGAAGAATGCATGTAAATTAACAAAAAAAAACACATTCACGAATAAACGAAATCAAATCCCGAAATTCAACGCTGTATCACCCTTACCAAAAGGTGCTAGGTTGGCCTGAGTAAGCAATCATAAGTAAAGTTCTCTCTGCACATTCGAAAACCAAACCGCCATCCAGCTGCTTACCGTCCGATTTATATGCTTGATACGGTAGGCAAGATCCTGGAGCGCATTACCATCGATGCAGTACGTCTGGTTAAAGCCATTGCGGTGAATGCAATAGCCGGGAAGCGCTGGAATAGCGGTACAATTGAATACTGCCTCTTGGTTACCCTAGATGTCAGAAATGCCTTCTATTCGGCAAACTGAAATCGGAGGTGTTACTCATCACCAGTGTTGCCACTCAAAATTTTGTTTTTACCCTACCACAATTGGTACAAAATAGCTCTCAGCTTACCAAAATGTGACTTTCAATGAAAATGTTGTTCAAATATTGTAGGATATGTAAGTAAGTACAACACTTTATTATAAAAAAAATCAAATAAAATTTACTTGTCCATAATTTGTCTTCATACGCAGCTCTTTTTGGGTAAAATGAAGAAAAAGGTGCGAACTCAAAGGCAGGCTTTGAAAATTACATGTTTTTACTTTTGCTGACCGAATTAAAAGCTATCAACTATTTTTTTCCTAAGCGAGAAGAGGGAAATAAAGTACGAATACTCTCCCTGCACACTCACTCGCTTTAGCGAAATGTAAAATTTGGCAATTGTCTAATTATTTTATTCTAACTTAAAAAAACTGTATGGATTAGATGACAGTCTAATCAACTTCGGTCCAAGAATAATTTTTAAATGTCCTATTTCTCTTTTCTTTTTCACATCATCCATTCCATTACATTACAAAATGGATGGATGAAACACACTTTAATTTATTTTACCGAATGTTACGTGGCCGAGGACCATACAAAGAGGAAAGGAGCATTCACTGCGGCAAAATGCTCGCATGGTTAGCAGATTTGATGGAAAGGTGGACAGAAGCAGTTAACAGTATTCTCCAATGGTTAACTCCATTGCGAGTATATGGTGAAATAAAGAATTATGTAAAGGCACATCTATGCACATATACCAGAAGTATGTGGGTCTGGGAAGTGCCAGCAAAGATTGCAAAACTCCAACGTGCCGTGGGTGAAGCAAAAAACTGAGTAAGATGAGGAGCCAGAGCAAGAACAATACAACATTCCACACAGATATTCTAAGCTCAGTCTATATCCTAGGAGGGATGTAAATATGTTGTCCAACTTGTATTGTAAAGCTTTTTGTAGTGTCCTTTGATTTATGCTTTCATTTATCTCATCTAGATACTGCAAGTAAAAAAGAATTCGAAATTGTTTTGCAAAAATACTTCTAAATAAACCAAAGTACTTCATACCAAAATAATCAGAAAATTACAAACCAAAAAGAAAGAGTTGTTGTTATGCGGATTTAGCAAGAACTAAGTTTTTAGAATTCCAATATAACTTCATTATAATTTTTATTAAGAAAACAATTTTAGCACTTAGCATAGTATTACATATTATACAATCAATATACATATATAACGTTCTTAAAATTTTAATCACAATTTCGTTATACATATTAATTTAAATTTCATATATTTACAGTGATTACATTCATACACACGTAAACAGTTATGCGCAAATCCATTTCGTTCTTTTTAAATTTGTTCATTATTTTTTATTATTTAAAGTGTATTACTGTTGCTTATATTATACATTTTTACTTCTCATCTCCATATCTAGGTGAATTTTTAGTAACATCTGTTTCAAATTTTTTATCATACATAATATTAATTTTAAATTTTATTTCAACTGCATATGCATTTTTTTTTTCTTAATCTCTTTATCTACTTTATACTTCCTTTAATTAAATTCTTGTTTTAATTTTTTAATTACTCTTTTTTTTTAATTACTGAATATGCATGTATGTATTTGTGTTACTTTTATTTGCATACATACCTACAATCGCTTAAAAAACGGTAAAACTGTTTCAACATAATTATTGAAGTTCTTTATAAATTTTAAATAACTGCCATTTGTTGATTGATTTCGAGTATTAAGGTGGACACTATTAGTTTATAAGTTTATATGTAGTAACCAATAAGCTTGGAAATTTTGGATATAGGCTGGTGTATAAAAATTATAGGTTATTTAACTTAATATATATAATAAACAAAAAGCTTTAAATATCATTTCAAATAGTGAAATTAATTAATTTATGAAAATATTATTTAATGCATTACATAATTTAAAAACCGAAAACAAAAAAGTTTAATTTAGAAAGTTTCTATATTTCGTCTTTCGAGACTCCTGCGGCCTAAATATTGTATTTATCTGAAATATTTCCAAAATAAAACGGCGCGTACTCGTAGTCGAAACAAAGTAGACTCTAAAAATAGTTACAGCTTTTTTAACACATTCTATTGAACATTTTGTCAAAAAGTTGTGATTAATTTTAGTTTCGACTCTATTTTGGCTATGAATTTGCGCCAGTGTACAGGGTGGCGACGAATAATTGTCACCCAGGTTTTTTTTGTAATAAAAGGGTCCTTTATAGACTTTAATTTTGTACATATTTATTTCACTTTACTTTTATTCATTAGTTTTAAAACTTTAATCCTTAGTACATGCGGCGCGCGCAAGTCTTTGTATTTGTATTTTTTCTTAGAGTTTGTATAAAAAACATAAAAAAAAGAAAAACTGTATGGGTCGATCGAATAAATGGCCGCCCTAGTCACCAGTTCCGAGTCTATTCGATTGCTGAGTAAGAGGCCTTATGTTGGACAAAAGGAGGTGTATGAAGGACTCAAAATGGAGTAAATTAGTCCTTTGGTTACAGCAGATATGGAATAAATTAACCGATGAAGACTTCCGTGCAGCTTGCGCTTTTTAGATAAGTTGTTTTATCAAAATGCCACAGATTTATTAATGTAATGACATGGGTGACTTTTAATGCCCAACCTAGGCAGTCCGTCCGCACACTAAGCGCCCAATTAGAGTACTGTAATCGCTTCGGCATACTAAAGCATGAGACTTTTGAGTCGAACACATACACACCATATTTTAACAAATACAGTTTATTCCCTAACCAAACCCGTATAGATTCAAATTTCCAAATTTGTGCAATTTCAAGCCTTTGAATTTAAGTCCTTAGAAAAATTTCGAGGATGCAGTTTTGTGACCCAAACTTACCGTTGATTTTTGGCTTTTTTTTTGTTGAAGTTGTTGCTCATATTTTCCATATAAAAATCGTCGAACATCTTTATATGAAAGAAAACGCACGCCAGGAAAAAAAATTTGGGAAAAATCCACGATAAGTTCTAGCTACCTCAAACTGGCACTTTATTATGCTAAAATTGATTGGTCCAAACAATCACATACTCCAGATCATTTTAAAAAATCTAATTAAAAAGCTTACAAATTTTGCGCAAGTTCGATGAATTTGATTACATTTTGCATAAAGTCTGAAACTTAAATTTACACGGTAATTGTTAAAGAATAAACTATATTTTTATAAAAAAAAATAGTTAAAACTAAATAACGATAAAATAAATCGTTAGAACATGATACAACTGGCGCTTTGAAAACTTCTTTTGCTTACATTTCTTTTTTTTTTTAATAAACATTTGTAATATATATACATACTTTGTAAATAAATGAGGAATGAATTAACATTTATGAATTCTTGGTGAAATTGCTTAGAAGTTTCCTAGTTTGCAAGACTGCAAGATTATCTATGAAAAAAATCGCACGACAATGCAAGCTAGAAATATCAAAATAATGCGAGAAAGCTATAAAATATCGAAGATTTGAATAATACATATATGACGCCCAAGTGTGCAGAAGTCGACATGCCAAACGCGAACACCACTCAGATTAGGCGCATAATGTATGGAGTGCTTTAATCATAAAAACTTTATTTTGTTACGAAAAATCGAAATTTTTTCTTATACAATTTTATGTGCATGAGATTTCATTTATGAAAATCTAAACTTGATAACTGAAATGTGTAGTAGATATTTTTTTTTTTATATGTAAGTAAAAATGTTGAGTGTCTTAAAACTTTATTTTAAAGAATTTTTGCGCAATTCAAATTTACTTCTTCATAGATTGTATACATTTTAGTAGCTTAGAATAAAATTGTTCACAATCAAAACATTTTTGGTAATTAAATAACTCAAAATTCAAATAGTCATTGGATTGCGCTTACACAGAGTTGCATATGTATGTGTACACTTAGACATATGTATGTATATGTAGAACATAACTTAGATTATCGTTAAGTAGGCTCAAGAGGAAATCTTTAGTTTCTCAGTGGTAACTTCAACTACATATTCAAAACTTTTCAGCTACAATTGGTTTTTGTTTACAAAAATTAACAACAGTTTTTATTTTATGTACACATACATAATACATATATATATGCACCACTAAACTTCTGTTTGCATTAACTAATTACTTTTTATCTTTAATCATTTTAATTCTTATACTATCAAGTGCTCAGCACCTGCTCCTAGGCTTAAAAATGAGTTCGCCAGCAGCGACAGCAGCACATCCTCCCCCGATTCCTTCTTACGCGCGCTCCGGACACTTAGTCTGCACAATGGCCGGCTTCGGTGTGACCGCCAGTGTGGGTGCGGTGGTCACAGCTCCCTCTGGCAACATGGCCGTATGCACAATAATACCCGGCTGATCCTCGCTCTGCGGGTGCAGTTCGTGCGATTCGCCTGGCGTTAAGCTGGCCAATGCCGCCAGCAGATCGTGATTCACCAGCGGCTCATTCTCTTCGCGTGGCTCCCAACCAGCTGGCGGTGAAGCGGGTGGCGAAATTAGGAATTGTTTAACTGGCGCTGGCGGTTGCAGATTTTTATTCGAAACTGGCGTTACCGGCTGTGCAAAATAACAGGTTATCACTGTTTTCTTATTAAATTCGTATTGATGCAATTTGATGCGCGCATTGGCCGCCGCTATGGCATTGTCGTAGTTGACGCGCAAACGTCTGAAACTGCGTAGCCATTGGAAGGTCGCCGAATCGCAGAAGGTGCGGAAGAGCTCTTCCATTTCCTGCTTCAGCGCTGGATTGGTAAACACCTCCGAGTGTATGTTCGTCACAATAATGGATGTGGGCAAATCATCAAATGAATCTGGATCCACAGGCTCGTTCTGTTCGTTATCACTGTCTACTTCGCCATCGGGCAATGTGGGATGTTGGCTGGGCAAGCCATCGGCTTGATTTATGAATATATCTTGATCGGGTGAAAGTTTATCGATGCTGCCGGTGCCACTATTTTGTGTTGATTTCAGTTTGGCATTGTTGTTGTGATTTGTGTCACCATTGGCGTTGTTACTGCTATTGTTGTTGTTGTTGTGCGTTGTTGCCTCATTCGCCTCGGTAGGTGGTGTATTGGCGCGCGACGCAGACATCTTCGTTGTGTGTGTGTGTGTGTGTGTGTTTGCTGGTTTGTGGGCGTGGAGTCGTGTGCCTCAGTGAGTGAGCGCGCAAGTGGACGGGAGTTTAAATTTGTTTGAAACTGTTGGAAAAGCAGCCAACTAATGAGACGAGTAGAAGTATGTAGTCTGAAAATAAAAATAAATATTTATTCTTAGTACGCTGATATTAAAGTATTTATGTTTATTTGTGATTTAATTAGCTGTGGAATATACAGTGACTAAAACAAGTGTTCACGTGTTGATTTCTTTTTTTCAATATTCAAAATTCTTTTCAAGTAAACCATTATCTAAACCCATTTACCTCAATCAAAGTTGCAAACCAAAATTAAGGAAAATTCAACAAATTTTCATCAAAATTTCCGGTTTTTTAATCTTCACTGGTTAGGTTTTTGTCGGGAGAATCACAAAAAAAAGCATCATTTGTATTCAGAACATTAAAAAGCGTAAAACACTCCCAAAATACCTTCAATCATCTCCAGTTCGCTTCATACTGCGTAAATTTTTATATTACT